CCTCCTTGCCTGGGCGCCTTCCTTCCTGTTCCCTCTTCTCCTTGCTCCCCACCCCCTCGCTTGCTTTTCTTCTCTCCTCTCCCGGCCTCCTCTTCCCTCCTTCCTCCGTGTCTCCTCTCCCTTCCTTTTTTTCCCTCTCCGTCCTCTTCACTAACATTATAAATTATGAAATCCTTTTAAACATAATGAGAAGTATAGAAAGTAACATAAGACACCTGTGTCCCCAGCACTCAGACTGTAGAGCCGGGGTCCGGTCCCAGCTCTGCAGCACTGGGCCCAGTCGGTCTCTGTCCCGGCTTCCGGCCTCGCCTCTTCTGGGTCCCTCCCACCTCTGCCACCTGTCGCAGACTCCTGGTTTCTCCTCGGCCCCTCCCTTCCCACCTGGGACGCTGGGCCTTCTCTCTGCTCTGTCTATACCTGTGCTCTCGGCTCGTGACTGAAACACTTGCTGTGTCAGTCACTCCCTAAGCTCAGCCTCCATCCTGGACCGCACTGCTCAACGTGTCCAGCGACCTGGTCTCTGCTGCTCAGAAAATGAGCTCCTGGTGGCCCCCAAACTTGCGCCCCCCATCCTAAGGGGTGTGCGGAGGTGTGTCGTGCGTTTTTGAAGTCCTGCAGCTCCTTTAGTCTTGTGTCCCGGCCCACACCTAGGGAGTTGCCGCAGACTTCCTCTTGCCCGCTCCTTACCTCTACGCCAAGGTCTACTTCCCAAGGCGGCCACTTCTCTGCTGCCCCCACCGGCCCAGGCCTTGCTCCTCTGTCCCCTGGGTGCTTGCAGGGGCTCCTCTCCGTCTCCCTTGCCTCCCACTCCCCTCCCTGTGGCCCTGCTCCTGCCTGGAGGGCTCCCCCCCCCTTCGGGTCTGCCTTCAAAGTCATCTCCTCCGAGAGACCTTCCCGGCAGTCATTTCAGCCCCTTCTCCGGGCCTCGTAGACCCTTTCCTGCTTGCTTTTAGGAATGTCAGTCTTAATCACTTATGTGCTGTGTGGATTCTCCTTGTATAACCCCTTTGGAGGCAGGGGTTTTTGTCTTCGTTGTTTATTACTGAACGATGCCTGGCTAATTGTAAGCACTCAGGAAATATTTGCTGAATGAACGCATAAATGAATGAGTTTAATAGATGGAAACATTTAGGTATATTTGCTTCGGAGCGTATTCATGTTCATTCACATCCCTGCCAATCCCGCCCCTCCCCCAACCCTGCCGCCTCCTTCCTCCCTCCATTCCCGGGAATGACCACCATCTCCATGCATGTTTTATAGTCCTGCTACAGATGCACAAATAACACCATAGTTTTGTTTCACGCGTTTCAAAAATTGTGTTGAAATACATATAACGTAAAATTTACTATCTTAACCATTTTAAAGTGCAGTAGCAATCAGTACGTTCACGTTGTGTGACCGTCACCACCGTCCGCCTACAGAACTTTTTCATTTTGCAAAACTGAAACTCTGTTTCCCATTAAGCAACTCCCCAACCTCCCGTCCCCCAGCTGCTGGTAACCACCGCTCTGCATTCTGTCTATGATTTCAACTGCGCTAGGGAGCTCACATAGTGGAATTATACACTCTTTGTGTCTTTGTGACTGGCTCGTCCCACGTAGCGTACCATCCTCCAGGCTCATCCGTGTTGTCGCAGGCGTCGGAATGTCCTTCCTTCGTAAGGCTGCATAATATTCTGTTGTGTGGAGGGACCACATTTTGTTTATCTGTTCATCGGTCGGTGGGCACTGGGCTGCGTCCACCTTTGGCTGTTGTGAACGGTGCAGCTGCGGTCACTGATGTGCACATACCTCTTTGAGACCCTGCCTTCAGTTCCTTTGGGTGTACACACACGAGTGGCGTTACTGGATCCCATGGCGCTTTTATGTTTAACTTTTTGAGCCGTGCTGTTTCCCACAGTGGCTGGACCGTTTTGCGTCCCCTCCAGCAGTGCACAGGGCCCCCGTTTCTCCACATCCTCACCGGCAGTTCTTTTTTTGATGGAAGCCATCCTAAGGGGTGTGCGGTGGTGTGTCGTGCGTTTTTAAAACCTCGGTGGCATCATACTACGCATAAGCAGTGTGACCTGTGAACTCCATGGGTTTCACTGCTTAGCCATGTTAACTCTGTGGCTCTGAATCATTAATTTTACTTTATTCTTTCCGTTCAAGTCACACTTTTACCGAGTTTTGAAGAAAACAGCAGTGCCCTGCAGCTCGCCTGCTATTGCGGGTCCCGTGCCACTGCGAAGCCTCTGGCTGCTGCGTCCGTTATTTCTGTCCAGGTTTCTAAAGGGAAATGCTGCTCTCCTCGGTTTTTCAGTTTGAGACCCCAGCTGTTGACCCCTCATAAGGAAGAAAGGGGCCGAGCTCCCTTGACATTCTAGGAAGGCCTGTCCTGACCTCTCGCTTCCTTAAGCGTAGACACGCACACGCCCAGGAGCCACCTTTCAGAGCTCTGATCCTTTGCACTCTGAGGGTCTTGAGAAGGAACTCGCTCATCGTGAAAGGGACGGCTGTCTGTAGGATCCGTGAGCACACTTTACGTCTTCCTTATTGGGGAAGCGAAGCTCGGGCTCCCGGTGCCGGCCGTGGCGAAGCTGTCAGGGCGTCCTGCTGCTGGAGAAGCAGGCTCTGCGGTGCCCGCCCCTCCGCCCGGCGCAGTGCTGCGCGGTCGGGCCGGCCCGTGGGCGGGGCCCTTCCTGTCCCAGCGCAGGGGGAGCAGACCGAGGCCCAGAGGGCCAAGCTGCTCAGCCAGGCCACACGGCTGGCCAGCAGCATGGAGGGCGCTTGGCTCCGACGCCCACGTCCTGGCTGCAGGTGCTCTTCCTGCTTCTCGTGTTCAGTCCTCCGAGCCACCCCTGTGGTCGCTGAGGGCATCTCCTTCATGCAGCGACGGTGCGGGTAGAGACCAGCACTGCTGGGCACCTGCGTGCGCCAGGCCCTGGGCCAGCTGCGTGCTTTCCGGCCTGTTCCCGGACTGCGTGGTGGCGGGGGGCAGTTTCCTGGGGGAGCTGGTGACAAGCCGAACCCAGCGCTCCCGTGTACATGGGGCTTTCTGCCACGGGCCTCGTTCCCCGAAGGAAAACCAGGGTGGGAACGAAGAACAGTGCCTTCCCCCGTAGAAGAAAGGACAGCCTGCCTCTTGGGTGGACATTTGCTCTTTGCCTGGTTATTAGCTCAGGTGTGGCGCTTCTCTTTTGGATCTTAGTCTTAAAGCAGGACCTGTGGAGAGAGCCTGGCCAGGTGCGGTGCCCGCTGCAGGGCTGAGACAGTCCCGTCTCAGAGGACAGATTCCGAGATGCAGGCCAGGTGGGCTGAACAGTGAGTGTGGGTGGGGCGGCGGGACACAGGACGTGTCGTTTCCTTATGACCCCGCGAACCCCAGAAAAGTCTCTGGGAAAAGTTCCCCCTCACCTCGCCAGTCTCTCTACAAGACCTTTGCATTTCTACAAGGAAGAGTTTAACATCTCGGTTGTGTTTTGATGGTAAAATAAAGGGAATCCAGTTCCACGGTGAGACCCTTTTCTCCGTGCAGAGAGGCCGAGCTGAGCCCCGGAGATCAGCCCCCCAATTTCTCATGTCTGGCGCTGTGTTTGCCTCGTAGGTGTGGGACGCTGTGGACTTGGGGAGCTGCCTGCAGACCTACACCCTGCACAGCGAGGCGGTGCGGGCCGCCCGGTGGTCTCCCTGCGGCCAGCGTGTCCTCAGCGGCGGCTTTGACTGTGCCCTGCACCTGACCGACCTGGAAACAGGTGTGTTCCTCTGCGTCGGCACCCCAGGCGCCCCTCCTGCAGAGCTGGGACCTGAGTCAGCTTTCTCATTGGGAAGCTGCTCTGGGGGCTCTGCATCTGGTCTCAGGGCAGCGAGGGGCCTCAGGAAGGCTCTGGAACCCAGCGTCTCCGCAGAGGGCTTGTAGTGGGCCTGTGCCAGCATGCCCAGAGGACAGAGCCCCAAGGTTGTCTCGGCCCCAGGAGGTGAGGCTGGATAGAGAGGTGGCTTTTCAATCAATTTCTGACATGTAATTTGTACTGAAATAGATTTAGCTTTATCACAGTGTCCTTTGGTCAGAATTGGTTTAGAATTCCTGTCAATTCGTTATCGTTGAAAGGCTGCAGGGAACGATTCCGGCTCGCAAGGCGCGTGTGAGGTCTCTGCCTTTGTGCCCACGCCGGAAAGGCGTTTGGCTGGGACAGAGCCACTGGGGCCAACCCGAGGGGCTCTGGATGAGCGGGGAGGAGGGAGGCAGTCAGCGGAAGGGACTGTCCGTCCCTGGGCATTCCGTGCAGCGGGCACCACTTGCCCCCGACCCAGCTGCAGCCCCGAGCAGTTCGTGCCCACGGTTCCAGGTGAGGACAGAGCCCAGAGTGCGGAGGAGCTGCGGTCAGACCTCCGCCTGACTCCCAGGCCACCGCCCCCTCCTCCCTGGCCTCATCCTGGGTCACTCTTCTGCTGGGTGCCACTGTCAGGCCAGGAGAGAGGCCGGGGTGCACGCCAGCCGCTGGGGGATCCCCTGAGCCCTCGGGCAGCCCCCGCCCACCTGGCCTGGCAGTGGTGGTGCCGGGGCCTGTGCCTCTCCCTGGGGCCTGGCGAGCAGGGTGGCAACTGTGGGTCGGGCCGCTGGGCGCCTCCCCGCAGCTCGGAGGAGATGTGGGAGGGGAGGCGGCGCCTGGTTTGGGAAAAGCGTGGGGTTCGTTTCCCACCTCGAGTGTCCTCGTGTCCCGGGCGGTGGGGGGCAGCCTTGCAGCTCCTCTGACTGAGCTCCGTGCGCTCCCGGCAGGGGAGGTGACGAGACCGATGGCCGTGCCAGCGGCCGGTGCTGTGCCACAGGCTTTGCCCATGCCACATCAGCCCTCGCCTCGGCCTGCCGCAGCCACTGTGGCCCCCATTTTACAGGGGAGGAGACTGCGGCTCACAGAGGCGAGGCACTTGCTCAGGACCTCCCAGGGGTGCGTGTCACGTAGGCGTTAGAGCCGCACATGTAACTGCGGGTCCTGAGCCCGCTCTGCAGGGCCGGGGGCATGGTGGTATTCTTCCCACAAAGCGTTTCCCTCACCATTGGTGGCCTTGCCACGAGCCCCACAGGGCCGATGGGGCAGCCAAGGCTCAGGGAGTTTGGTGCCGCTTGGTGACAGCGACAGTTGGGTCAGCGATGACGGTAGCAGGTACTGTCACCGAGTACCCACTACGTGCCCGGCCTTCTTCTACCGACTTACATACGGGGTCTCATTTGGTCCCCTTTGAGGCTGGTGCCTCCAGAATCCTGTTTTCACACACTGCCCCCCACTGCAGGGTCACGAGCGCCCATGGGTCTCTGTGCTGCCCGCCGGCCTGCCCCTGGAGCGGAGTAAAGCTTTTCTCATGCTGGCGATGTTGCATGAGAGGTCATCAGAGACAAGTTTGTCTGAAGACGGTGGATTTCCTGTGGGCCTTTGTCATGGTCTATCTATCTTCTCTGTCAACAGGTGTTTAACGGACACCGCTGTGTGAGTGTGAGTGAGTGTGAGTGTGTGTGAGTGTGTATGAGTGTGTGTGAGAGTGTGTGTGTGTGAGTGAGTGTGAGTGTGTGTGAGTGTGAGCGTGTGTGAGTGAGTGTGTGAGTGTGAGTGAGTGTGTGTGAGAGAGTGTGAGTGTGTGTGAGGGTGAGTGTGCGTGAGTGTGTGTGAGTGTGTGGTGGGCGTTCTGAAGTTTTTACACATGCAGAGTCCTCTTGCCTGACGAGTTGGGGACTGCCACAGCAGGTGGCAGCAGGGGGCCGCTGCCCGGGTTGGAGCAGGAGAGAACCGGGGCTGCATTTGCACTCTGGGCAGGTCGCCCCGGTTGGCAGCGGTTAGGTGTGGCCGAGGCAGGTGTAGAGCCGGAGGAGGGCGGGGGGCCGCTGGGGGCGGTGGCGGAGCTGGGCCGGAGGACAGCTGGCCGGGCCCCCGGTGCGTGCCTTCAGCTGTGGGGTGTCGGAGGGCAGGGGGCAGGCGTGGCCCTACCCGGAGCCTTGCCGTCAGTCGGGGAGGTGCTGGGGACTTTCCCACGCTGCCCCCTGCCGGGAATGGTGAGTGCCACCCGGTTCACCCATGGGAGACCCATGTCCATTTCTTCCGCACTGACCACTGAGCACTTCCTGTGTGCGGGGCCTGGCGCTGGGGCTGCAGTGCTGAGCATGTTGGATGCCCTTTGTCCCTTGGGGAGTAAGGCTGAGGGGTTCGGACCTCACCCTGGGGGAAGCCCTCCGGCCCTAGACGGGGCCTCTCCTGCCGAGGGACCCGTGGATGTCCATGTCCGTCTCCCTGGCTAGCATGCGAGCTCCTGGAAGATGGGGCCTGTCCTGGTGGTCTCTGTGTGTCCAGCGTCTGGCCAGGGCTCCCGGACGAGACAGAGCTGAGGCTGGCCCTTGCTGATGGTGAACCCCATCGGGGGCCACTGAGGTTGGGGTGGCAGCGCCAGCCGTGTCTGAGTCTCGTCCCCGCGTCCCCTCCGCTCACCCAGGCTGTGTGGGATGCTCTCTTCCGCAGAGGCTGGGTGGGCTGTGCAGCCCGTGGGGCCCTGGCCTCGTTCGACATCTCCTTTATCGTCACCGAGTCTGCTCTCCCTCTTTACTCGATCTGCCTCTTTCCGCCCTGGGTGATTCGGCTTTTCCACTTCATCTAATTAGAGCTCCCTGCCAGGGGAAGCAGTACAGGGAGGGCGTTCTCACCACGGTGCTTTGGGGATTAGTCACCCGGTGCCCATTGTCGTTAACGGGAATTTGGCGCCAAGGCCATTTATCCCAGTGTCCTCAATCAATACAGTTAGAAATCTGTGGATTCTACAGCATCGATACCCGGCCCGAAATGTGGAGGGCCGGCGACAGTTTATCTCGTTAATTTATAGTTCTGACGGGCCGTTGGCTTATAGAACAACCATGAATCAACACTTAAATAACATCCGTCGCAGATTAATTATTTTGGAGGCCGCCGTTTCAGTCTGCAGTCTTACTAACAAAGTGTCTCGGGTGCATCAGGCTGCGGTGGCCTCAGGGAACGCCGGCCGACTGCCAGGGTCTGAGTGTCGCCTGCTTTGCAAGTCAGCCTCCCGTGTAGGAAATCGGCCAGTCTCCTCAGAATCTCAGGGGCCCGTGGTGCCGGTTCTTGCAGAGTCCAGCCCCCCAGGCAGTCACCCCAGCCTGGCCGCTCAGGCCCCTGAGGTAGCAGAGGCGGTTCTCGCCCTCCCTGGAGCCTCCAGGACCTTGTCCTTCCTGTGCATGGCCAGCTCTCCCGACGCAGGCCCTGCCCGGCCAGGACACACGTGCAGTGCCCCCTGGCCCAGCCCCGGGATGCTGGGTGTGCAGCGTGATGGGGGAGCACGGAGAGCAGGTGTGGCCCTTCCACTTCCTGAGCCGCGTGCCCCATCTGCCTCCGCGCCTGGCAGAGGGGCCAGTGGGACAGGCCCGCGGGGCTGCTGAGGGGCTCGCTGGGGTCAGGTGTGCAGAGGTGCTCTGCACGAGGCCCACACACGGTGGGCACTCAGCCAGGGGCCTCCTCCTCTGTCACTGCCCCGCAAGGCCCTTCAGAAAGTGGAAACTAATGGCCT